TGTTCTGGCGTTCTGAGGGACCTGTTAACCGGGGTGGGGTTGGTGGATGTGGAGGAGGGGCAGCGTGGGAGGTGGAGCACACCTTTGTGAGGCAGGGGTATGCTGCACGGCTGGACAGGATATACATGACAAGAAAAGCAGTGGTGCAGAGTGTAAGGGTTTTGGTTAGATGTGTTTTTTTTGATCATAGTGGTGTTTTAGTAGGATTTGGATGGGAGGGACAGCCGAGAGAACAGGTGAGGAGAGTTATTGCGAAATTGAAGGGTTCGGTTGCTTAAGAGTTGATGGGAGGGTTCTATTTGCACAATGGTGGAAAGGCTTATGGGGAGGGGATGGAAGTCATATGGGGATGTGTTGAGTTGGATGGGATGTGGACGGCATATAAGATGAGGATTCCGAGTGTTCTATGTAACGACAGGGGCGGCCGAGAGAATCAGTTGGCTTATGGGCTATTAGGTATCTTGAGGGGCAGTTAAGGTGAGTATTTTTGAGAGAGGAAAGGGGGGGCGATGGGAGCCCAGTGGTGACATTGAGGGAGTGAAGGAATGCCTAATGGAAGTTGCAACATGAGAGGTTGATGCAGCAAGGGGTTTTTAGGGGGTTGGAGGAGGTCATCTGGGGTGATAGACCATCGGCATGTGTCCTGCGAGGGCAAGGGTCCGGCGCATTGCAATGAATGGTGGTTTGAGGGTTCTTGAGGACATCGAGGGGTATAGGATGGACAAGATTTGGTGGACAATGGAGGAGTTTGGAGGATTGTTGATGCTTGGCTTTGTGTGTAAATGAGGAGTGTGGGTGTGAGAGAGGGGGCTTTAAGAGAGATGGGGGGATGGGTGCAGTGTGTTGCTGTACTGGGACGACTGGAAGACAGTTTACAGGGGCCTATTGTGGAGGAAGGGTGTGGACAGCTTTAATGAGTATGGAGCAGGGGTAAGGCGCCCGGAATAGATGGGCTGCCTGCGGAGTTTTACATACAGCATTGGGGAGTATTAAAGATATTTTTGTTGCAATTTTTTAATTTTCATAAAAGTGAGGTGTGCGTTGGGAACTTTGCAGCGACAGCCTATGTAGTTTTTGGTGCAAAGGGTGTAGTCAGTGCACAGTGAGAGATTACAGATGATTTCATCTCGTGTGCAGACTACAAAACTTTTTGCAAAATTGTGGGAAAAATCGTATAAGAAATGTCATGGAAAGGGTATTGTGAGGGGGTCATATGGGATTTCCGGGAGAGCAATGTATGGAGGGCATGGGGTTATTAGAAGGTTTATTGAGGGTTCGCGAGAGGGGGAACGAGGGTATTGGCATTGGATGGTGATCGACGAGTATGACAGTGTCGGTGAGGGAGGTTCTGTGGAGAATCATGGAGCGGTAGGGGTTCTGGGAGGACATGTAAATGGGTGTTGTACTTTATTATCTGGGGCCGGGATCGTGTGTACAGATTATTGGGAGGTGGGTTGCTTGTGAAAATGGGCAGGGGGATTGAGCAGGGTTTGACCCATGGTCCACCTTAATATTATTTGCTTGTTTTACAGAATCCGTTTTATGGGCAGTGGCAAGGTGCATTAACAGGAGGGGGTATGGGAAAGGACATAAAGGGTGGAGCCGGTATCATAGGTTATGGTGATGACACAACTGTCTAGTGAGTGGGAGGAAGGGATTGGATGGTCTTGGAGAGAGTTATAGATGTTTTTGGGATGGCAAAGGGTATGGCAGTGAATGTGCATAAATCAAAAGTCATGAGACTAGTGTGAATGGGCTGGGCAGGGGCGCGGGGGTGGGGGGATGAGGTGGTGTGCTCTGTGGGACCGGGTGGAATATTGTGGAGTTGTGTATATGGGTATTGCTAAGATGGAGAGGGAGGTTATTCAAAAGGGTGTGGTAGATAGAGTATTGGGAAGATTGTCAGGATTGCGGCCGACACTATCTTGGCTCACCCAGAGGGGCATTGTGGTCAATGTGCTTTTGTACAGCAAAATATGGCATGTGGCTGCTGTGTACTCTTTGGTGTATGGGGATGTCCGGTGATCGTGAGCAGAGTTTTTCCGTTTTATCTGGGGTTCGGGATGCGATTGGTTGAAAAGGGATGTGGTAACACTTCCGGTGGCCTTGGGAGGGCTGGAAAGAAGGTTGAAGTGTGTATATGTGAAACATGGGTTTCTAAGGGTTTGGGGGGAGGGGAGTGGAGGGTTTGAGGATGCTGCAGCGGAGATATCGGAGATGGGTGGATGGATGGGATTTGAGAGATGGTGAGGAGTTGTTGCGTCTGTTGATGATGGTCAGAGATTCCGTGCAACATGTGGGTAGGGTCCATGGAGAGGAAGTTAGCTAGGGGGGCAGTGGCACAGAAGGAGTGTACCGATGTATTGCATGGGAAGACATTTGGGGTCGATTAAAAAGGGTTACGCATCCGGCTGCGCGCGGAGGGAGGTAAGTATAGCGTTTCTTCACGGGATTTATTGACCGTATGGGGTTGTTTACGAAATAGGCGATTATGGAGGTGGGAGTGTAGGTTTGTGGGGTGATGAACAGCTTTTAATGTAGTTTATTTTTGCAAAAACCTAGGGGTTGTGCGGGAAGGTTAGGGAAAGTAATCCGGTATTGTGGAGGCGGGAAAGGGTTGTCGGTTTGTGAGCGCTCCATTTTAGAGGTAGGGTGGGGTTGGGGTAAAGGTTTCAATGGTTTGCAGCTGGATCTCTACTTAGTGGTGATTTTGTGTTTATTCATGGGCTATGAGAGTCAAAAGGGGCGAGAGAACGCTTTGGGTGGCATAGCAGCCAGCCTTTTATAGAACAAAGTGTCCCCAACAGGGGAAATATATGTAGTGAGGTGGGAAGAGGGAATTCTACGGAGGGTTATAGGGGACATTTCTTTTGAGGGATGTATGGAATTTATAAGCGGTCAGCGGGCATGAAAGGGGCCTTCCCGGGGGGGGGGTTTGTGTGTGTTGCAGATGGGTCGATTGTGTGGGGTGTGAATTGTGTGAGGAACAAGGTATTGAGGTAAGTTTGAGTGTGACACATTACGAGTGTGATAGGTTTTCTCAAATAGGATTAACGCCAATTGTTGTGTCAATCTACTGCTTTATTATAATATGTTTGTGGGTAATTTTGATTTACGATATTGCCATTGTAATTTTGGTGTTGTACTCGATTAATTGCATGTATTTGTCCAACTTGTTTTCTAGGTGCCTTGCAATGCATAGTGTTGACGATGTGATCATGCACGGTGTCCTGAGATATGATGTGATATGTTTGTTTTATGTTCTGTGCCATTATTGTTCGTCACTGGTGATCTGCTATTTTCGGTTTTGTTTTGTGAGTAGAGTTTAATGTACGTAGATAGTGTATATAAAGTTGGGCAACAGTGGTGTTATAGGTTTTTGTGGTTAGGTGCGTGCTGGCACAGTCTTCATGTGTTAACTTATGTCTTGGTTATATTTTATGTTGTATTGTGTAATTATGATGTCAATATGCACTGTTTATGTCCATATAAGATGTATAAAGCTTGAATGTCATAGTTGAGCTGTGTTATTTGTTTTTAACGTTTGGAATTGCATGTTTAAATGTGTAGAAGCTTACATGTGTTAGGGTTTGTGAGACTTAGTTTTACTTGTCTTTGTAGTAATTTTGTGTCTTTGTGACTTCTCTATATCACATTGTGGGGTGATAATATTGTTTATGTAACTGAACCATTAGGACAATTACATAAATAATGTTTTGTATTGCTGTGTAACTTTAGTTAGGTTATCATCAATTGGTTTATAGTTTGTTAGGTTGTACTTAGTGGGGGTGGTTGGATTTACCACGGGGGGGGGGGCCGCTACTTATGTCTGGTATAATATGTTCTGTGCTATGAATTGATGGTCTGTAGTGTTTAATCATCAATGTGGATGTAATTGGATGTCTCTGTGGGTACAGATTTAAGTACAGTGCACGAGGGAGTGTTATAGTGTTGTTCATATTGTGTTAATTTTGTTGGATAGCTCCAAAAGGTTTTGGGTTAAATGATAGGATGTGGGAACAGAGAGGGTGGGGGGTTGTACCCACACTGAGTTGTAAGTGTGGTGTGTAATGTTAGCTGTAGGTAGGATTGTGTTAATTTTATAGCCCTACATGAGTTTTATACATTATATTTTTGTAATGTCATGTTTTAAATAAAATATAAAAAAAATTTAAGGAAGGAAGGTAATGTGATGTTGAGGGTGTGTGAGTAATCTAAGTGGTGAGTTTGGAGAGGACTGTCGCTGAGTACACAGCTGTTAGAGTTTTGCAACTTGTTATATAATCTAGATTGGTTGTGGGTGGCGAGGTACTTAGGGTCCGTGTGGAGTTATTTGGGGGATGGGTACGGAAGGGGTTGGGGGATGTTGTGTGAGACTTATAGAGTGGGGCAGCCCAAGCATTGGTGGGGTAGGGGGGTTACCTGGGGAGGGGGGAGCAGGGAGAGGGCTGGGAAGGGAGGAGGGTTGGTCTTGTTCGAGGGAGTTTACCTGGAGTGCATTGCGGGGATCAACTCCCCCGCGGCCCGGTCCATGACCAGACCTCCTGGTAGATCAGGGCCTGATCAATGAGGATGTACTGCTTGCCGCATGTAGTCCAACGTACGAACCACAGCCCGGCTGATCCAGCACTGACTTTAGGTATCTGTCCAGCTCCCTCTTGAAGACAACCAGGAGTCTATTGGTAATTCTCCTTATGGCTGGTGGGAGGCTGTTGAACAGGCTCAATACTTCACATGGCGACAAGAGCACAAGTAACTATCATTGTTAAATGTCATGTGAGATTCTCAGAACATGACACAATGTGTATAGAAATGTTGCTATAAAAATGAATTTTAAATATGTTGTAAAAATAGCAAACAAGAAAATAATTTACCTGAATAAACTACTTAGTGATCTTAGGCATAAAGAATATAAGTGTAGATGATAGTCTTGCATGATTCTTATCACCACTCAGGCTGGTAAACGAGGTGGCTATTCCTTATAGGCCTACAAGTTAATGTTTACTTCCCAAACAGGGTGATATGATGGCGTCATTGTTGAGAGTCGTGGCAGCCAGGGCATCGTTCCCGTCTCAGTTTCACTCTACAAGACTACTTTCTCTTGTAAAGTAAGTTTACCGTTTTTTGTAACTGTCTATTTTCAACTACCCCACAAGCCTATATTCACCGAGAGGTGCATGTCACTGTCTATATATACTGAGAGTTTAATCCCTTTGTAGGAGATTAAAGTATTCTTGACTGGTGGAGAACATGGGAGATGTATCCTCAATGACCATTTATTGCTATTTTCTTGTCATTTTGTAGCTACAAGAGCAGATATATGCTCGTGGTGTACTGTCTTCAGTGTTTACTATTATACATGTCGTTGTGACGACTGTCAGATGAATAAACAGAAGAAAGGACAAAGACGAATTTTGGTCCATGTATGGTGCTGGCATAGCACTACCATTCAGTCACAAGGGTTCTAATAAAATGAGTTTACAACCATCACGTCTGTGACGAGGTTGTAACAGCGGCCACTAACTATGACAACTCTCATCCAGTACCTCTTTGGCTTTCTGATTTGGTATAGCACCGAGCATGCTGCACACAGGTACCACGGTTCGAGTCCTCGGCCATTCATATGTTTATTCACTTGGCAGTCGTTTATTACAATTTACCTTTGGTTTATCAATTCTGAGAAGATAGACAACACACGCACCATGAAACTTGTGAGGGTGCTGGATAAGGCAGTAGAGCCACGGTCGCTGGCGTTGATACTCTTGCTACAGAAGTGGCAAATGGTGTGTGTGCATATGTGTGTGTGAACTCACCTAGTTGTGGTTGCAGGGGTCGATTCACAGCTCCTGGCTCCTGTGTATGCGTGTGTATGTGTGTGTAACGACATATTATAGCAATGGAATCGCCTGATTTAAGCCATTTAGAATTTTTTAGTCTACCCCCAAAATAACAATGATTTATGACTTCTTAAATTCCTCGTATATATTGTGGCTAAGTGAAGTAACATTTTATATTTATGCTGATCTTTAGCGCATGACGGGGACTTTCGAACCCCAGAATATGAGTAGCAAATTACAATATTAAAACAGACGGTCTGAAATGAAAACTGAAAGAATTCTTCAGCAAGTATTCTTAAACGAAAAAAGAATACGCGTAACCTAGTTTACATCAGTTTTGGACAGAGTGGATCTACCTGTCTATTTCTTATGGGTAACTTTTACATATTTTAATTTACCTAAGCTGGAGTTAAACCAATTAAGATCAGTCAATGATGTAAAGGTCTTGAAGCGCTTAGTTCCTTATAAAATAAAATTGCCAGGGGTTCCACGAAGATGTTGCTAAAAGCCTAGAAGAGTAAACCCGGAACTGCGAGAACTAAACTACAACATGATGATTCCTACCAGTTTTAAGCAATTTCGAGTCGAGTTGAGTCTTGTTCATCTTCAAGTTGATCTTTAATTTCCGATATAAATGCAGCGTTGATCCGTCATCTCTTGGAACAATTTACATTAGTAACTGAGATTACACTTGCTTAACGAATCTTCACTGTAAAAACAAGAACGAGGATCAGTATCAGTGGCCCGGTGGTTAGAGCTCCCGCTTCACACACGGAGGGCCCGGGTTCGGTTCCCGGCGGGTGGAAACATTTCGACACGTTTCCTTACACCTGTTGTCCTGTTCACCTAGCAGCAGATAGGTACCTGGGTGTTAGTCGACTGGTGTGGGTCGCATCCTGGGGGACAAGATTGAGGACCCCAATGGAAATAAGTTAGACAGACCTCGATGATCCACTGACTTTCTTGGGTTATCCTGGGTGGCTAACCCTCCGGGGTTAAAAATCCGAACGAAATCTTATCTTATTATCACCTTCATGGGATATTTGGAATCAAAAACATTCATCTTGACAGAATTCCTTATATATATACATATATTTTTTTTAGATTCTGGTGATTAAAAAAACATCTGAACTGTCAATAAATAAACTAGATACCCCATAAGTGACCCAGACCGGTTTAGCGCTTCACAGACAATTTATATATATATATAATTATATATATATATATATATATATATATATATATATATATATATATATATATATATATACATTATATATATATATATTATATAATATATATATATATATATATATATATATATATATATATATATATATATTTTATATATATAAAATATATATATATATATATTTGTTTATATCTCTGGCAATTTCTGAATAACTGTGTATCTGGGTACACAGGAGAGCAGAGAGAGGCTTCAGTTCCGGCAGAGCAAACCACAACGTTGTCACCTCAGATTTTCCAGATATAGAGTTGACTGCTACCAACTTGACCAGCCACGTCCTGAAGGACGCAGCAGAGTGGCCAGACCATGTTGCCACAGTAAGTGAACATCATTATTTGAAGACACATGTGCAACATTAAGTTTATTGCTGAGAGGTATCGGCTGCACAGCAGGTTCATCAGTCCAATACTGTGGTGTGAGATGACTAAAATATTGGTGACAATAGAAGACGTGGAGATTTTGAGGTGTTTAGTTCCTCACCCTTGGAAGCAACAGCTGTAGAAGTGCTCAGACTGTCAGTCTTGGCTGAAATAGAGGTGCTCAGTTCATCAGCCTATATGGAAGGTGTTCTATTCCATAGCTTGGTCAGTCTAAAGTAGAAACAGTTGGATGGAGTTCATGTACTCGAGCTTGAAGTGAGGTGTATCTGCTGTAGATGGCCTCACAGGAGGCGGGGCCCACCGGAAGGCATGCTGGTCCTACCTAGGCTGAGTCCTCTCAAATCCAATCTTGCTTACTCATTAGAATATGTTACACGTTTTAATTATTCATGTACTTGTAGGTGTAATAGACCATAACATAATGCAGTTGTCTGACAATAACATCTTGGTATCTTCTTATACACGACTTTTTACATTTTTTTTGTTTCTACTTTGGAAATTTAATATGTTCTTATGTGTGAGAAGAGTTAGATTTGAGAGAACTAAGCCTAGCCTGGTCCATCAACCTTGTTACTGGGCCCCGCCTTCTGTGACGTTATATACAGAAGTCACTCAACACCTCTAGCTTTAGTATATAAGTTCCATCCAACTTGTTCTTTTTCAGTTTTACCATTCTATGGGAATGAACACCTTACATATAGGATGATGGACCCAACACCTCAAGATGATTTCTCCATTTCAGTCAAGACTGAGGGACTGAACAGTGAGAGATGAGGTCAGTTCTACCAAGGCGGATGGACTGAACACCTCAAATCTTAACTTCAATTGTATCCAATATATCAGTCACCTTTGTAGTCAACTGAAGAAGCCTGCTCCGCAGGCAGTACGTCTCAGCATTAAAGATATCTAAATATGTGCCTGTGTCTTATTCATATATTTGTGGTAATGTTCATTTGATCTGGTGTAAACAGCCAAGTCTTCAGGGAAGCAAAAAATAGACACACAGTTGTCGCAGTTAGTGGATATAATTACTTGATTACTCGTGATCTGCTCACTTCAGGTGACCTTTGCATGACCCTTGAAATAAATATGTATGATATATGTCATGTGTGTTTATTTCAAGAATCGTGCAAAAACATTACACATCATTACACATTATGTATAAAGTATGCAAAGTCACATTACCATGCTTAGGATAGTTCACCAAAAAACTCGCACTTAGGAAAGAAATCTGATGCTGACGTTTCAGTCCATCGAACACCATTGTTAGGTCACGACTGAGATTTAATTAACAATGGTGCAGGGGAAGGGGACCGTGTGGGGGAATTTTATTAAGCTGGTTTTAAATACGTGTTGAGAATGCCTTACCCCCAGGGTCACCGTGGCCTTAGTGACCGTCGGCCACCCACCGAAGGAGATAGAAGCGTCGCTTAACCGTTTCTCCTATCTTAGGAGAAGCCCTGATACATGAGAACGTCCTGTCTGACATATCTAAGTCATCAGTCACTTTATGTCCAGCCATGAGACCTCGACCAATTAGGTCTAAATACCTCTAATTTGTAAGTGACGTCATGACTCACATTCTCACATGTCCAGAGCACTTGCTCAGTGTTCATTTTTTTGCCTTCTCTGACAACTTATCTTAAAGCCCTCAAGCATACGATTTTAAACACTGAGGGCAGTCGGAAGTTTGACTTCAGGGAACATCATGTAAAGGTGTCCTAGCGTCATGTGAGAGACTCATTAGAGAAGACAGGAGTCAACAAATTTCTTGCCCTAACATCTCTAGTACCGCAACTTACTGGTCCATCTCACGACCTTATTCAGTATAGAATGCAATCCATAATCTTGTTCGAGGTAGGTAGGGACCTATCATAGGCAGAATGGTATAGGCTCATGTCAATGGGAATCCCAGAGCTGGTCATTAACGTGTCAATCATGGGCAGAGCGTACCCCGGAAGGCCGGGTTCACTTCACTGAGCGTGCTGGATATTTCAGTTTGGGCGATGGACCAGGCACCAGGTGTCATCAGAGACGTCGGATTGTTAAGTAACCAATAGCCACTCGAAGGGTAGAGTCAACAATAATTAGACCTGGGATGTCTGAGGTCTAGGTGGGCTCGACTGACTAGCGTTTAGTTAACGTCAGTCAAGGTAGAACCCCTGATTATGGACAGACCGAAACGTCGTCAAAAAAGTCTTCTCCTAAGTGCTGGCTTTTGTTCAGTTACGTTTTATACCATAAAATCTTTGATCGATGCATCAGCTATGTACTGCTATTGTTACAATCCCTAGGAATGTGCAGTGACTGGTAGACGATACACATACAGTCAGCTGGTGGACCGCGTGGCCAGGTGGGCAGGGATGCTGACCCAGCTGGGCATTAGTAAAGGGGACGTAGTAGCCATAATAATGCTCAACTGTCCAGAATACCCAATTGCCATGCTGGGAGGCATCAGTATTGGTGCTACTGTCACAGTCGTCAACACGGCCTACACTCCAGGCAGGAACTTACATTTTTTGAGATACCTTTGTGTAATCAACTGGTTTTATTTACATTATTATAATTATTATTATTATTATTATTATTATTATTATTATTATTATTATTATTATTATTATTATTATTCTCATTCTCAGAAACATTACTGTAGAACTCCTCACACTCCATTCATTGTTTTGGCACTTCTTATCAAAATAGGTCATCTTTGTTCAAGTAAATATTTATTTCCACTTTGGTTTAATATTCCCACACACCAGCTTACCGTCGTTCAGCATCTGTCTTTCCAGAAGAATACTAACATCACAGTTCAGACGGCCCTTCGAATAATATCCTTTCCTTTACCCATCCTGCTCTCATTTTCGTTAGTGTGACTTTGTAAATGGTCCAAGTCGGACAGAAACGTCGTCGTAAGCTCCTCTCTTCTATGTGCGTTTATTTGTGTAATGACCCTTTCCCCCTTTAGAGTGTTGGACAGTACCTACCACCAGGACTCAGGTCCGGATAACTGGTGTACCCTGAATCCCTTCGTGAATGTTGTTTTTCTCACTCCAACACTATCATGACCTTGACTTCACGTACACTCTCTGCAACACTGACCTTGACTTCACGTACACTCCCTGCAACACTGACCTTGACTTCACGTACACTCTCTGCAACACTGACCTTGACTTGGTAACTCTCTAAACACTGATCTTGACTTACGTACACTCTGCAACCTGACCTTGACTTCCGTCACTCTTGCCACTGACCTTGATTCACGTTCACTCTCTGCAACACTGGACCTTGACTTCACGTACATCTCTGACACTTGACTTTAACTTCACGTACCCCTTTCTGAAACACTGACCTTGACTTCACGTACACTCTCTGCAAACTGACTTTAATTCCGAAAACCCTCTCTGCACATGACTTTGACTTACGTAACTCTCTGAAACACCCCTTTTCTTCCGTACACCTTGCAACACTGCCTTGACTTCACGTACCCCTTCTGAAAACATGCCTTAACTTCACGTCCCCTCTCTGCAACACTGACTTGACTTCCGTAACTCTCTGCAAACTGCCTTAACTTCACGTCACTCTCTGAAACCCTACCTTGATTTCCGTACACTTCTGCACCCTGACCTTGACTTCACGTAACTTCTGCACCTGTTTAAACTTCAGTCATCTCTGCAGCATGACCTTGACTTACGTACACTCTCTGCAGCATGACCTTGACTTCACGTACACTCTCTGCAACACTGACTTTAACTTCACGTACACTCTCTGCAACACTGACCTTGAAACTTCACGTACACTCTCTGCAACACTGACCTTAACTTCACGTACACTCTCTGCAACACTGACCTTGATTCCGTCACTCTCTGCAACATGCCTTAATTCCGTCATCTCTGCAACACTGACCTTGACTTCACGTACACTCTCTGCAACACTGACCTTGACTTCACGTACACTCTCTGCAACACTGACCTTAACTTCACGTACACTCTCTGCAACACTGACCTTGACTTCACGTACACTCTCTGCAGCACTGACCTTGACTTACGTACTCTCTGCAACCTGATTTAACTTCACGTACACTCTCTGAAACAGACCTTAACTTAGCACTTCTGCAACCCTGCCCTTAACTTCAGTAACTCTGCAACCCTGCCCTTAATTCAGTCACTCTGAAAACAACCTTAATTTCGTACACTCTGCAACATGCCCTTAAACTTCACGACATCTGCAACATGACCTTAACCACGTACATTTGAACATGACCTTAATTCACGTACCTCTGCAACACTGCCTTAACTTCATTTCCCTGAACATGCCTTTAAACTTCACGTTCCCTTCTCGCAACAGACCTTAACTTCACGACACTCTGCAACATGATTAAACTTCACGTAACTCTGAATACTGCCCTTAAACTTCACGTACATCGCAACAGCCCTTTAAACTTCACGTAAACTCTGCAACACTGACCTTAATTTCACGTACACTTGCAACAGACCTTAATTCACTAACTCTGCAACATGACCTTAACTTCACGTACACTCTCTGCAACACTGACCTTGACTTCACGTACACTCTCTGCAACACTGACCTTGACTTCACGTACATCTCTGCAACCTGCCCTTAACTTCAGTACCTTCTGCAACCTGCCTTAATTTCAGTCACTCTCTGCAAAATGCCCTTGACTTCAGTAACTCTCTGCAACACTGACCTTGACTTACGTCACTCTCTGCAACACTGCCCCTTAACTTCCCACTCTGAAAACCTCCCTTAACTTCAGACCCTTCTCCCAACATGACCTTAACTTCACGTACACTCTCTGCAACACTGACCTTAACTTCACGTACACTCTGCAACACTGACCTTAACTTCACGTACACTCTCTGCAACACTGACCTTAACTTCACGTACACTCTGCAACACTGCCTAACTTCAGTACACTTCGCCACTGCCCTTAAAACTTCACGTACACTCCTGCAACACTGCCTTAATTTCACTTTACATCTCTGCAACACTGCCCTTTAAAACTTCCGTACCTCTGCACATGACCTTAACTTCACGTACACTCTAAAAACACGCCCTTTAAACTTCCGTACACTCTCAACATGCCCTTAACTTCCGTACACTTCGAAATAGATATAATTTTTTTCCCATATTTTAGTGGTTAAAAGAATATTTCTCAGGGCTTTATTTTGTGTTTCTTTCAAGTCTCTCAGTTGTTCTACTGTGTTGCAGGTCTTGACACCCTAGGGTTTACGCATCCCCATGCCCCCCCTTTCACTGTTTTGACAGCTTTTGGTACACGGAACAGCAATTTTTTAAATTTTTCAGGCCCCTCGTCAATGGCCTTTCCGTGTCTTTAAATTTTTATGATGCATTTTTTGCGTTACAAAGAATAAAGGAAAAAGGAAACCCGCGGGGGCCTACTGGGCCCATGCGAGGCAATCCAATTTCCCTCCGGCCCTTTTAAATCAATGCCCTTTACCTAGTCAGGTCGTCACATTTATTACCAGTGTGCGTTAAAAAACTCCCGTCGTTTCTGCAGAAATTTTTGTCGAAGTGATCCAGGGTGTCTGTATGACAGCTGTCTGATGTCCGAAAAATTTTAGCAAGCGTAAGAATATACAATAAAACTAATGGTGATATTGTTGGGGTGTATTGGCACAAGGCTATAGCAAATAAGGCATTTGTTAATATATTAAAGATAGTAGGACTTAATACCCCTCCTTGAGGAGTTCCTGGTCGCATTTTTTCGGTTTCACTTTTGTAGACTTGAATATACATCCGCGCATAGAAGGTAACTTAAAATGACGTTTCGGTCCTACTTGATCCCTTCACTAGTGACTAGTTAATAGTCCAAGTCAGACCGAAACGTCTTAAGTTTTGTTTTCCTATGTGCGGGTTATTTGTCTATTATTCCAGCCACAGTATTATGCCTTTTTAATTCTTTGTACCATAAAACAGCACAGCAAATTTCCTGTTATTGGCATAACCAAAAATCCACTGTAAAAGCAGACCATCTCAGTCCATTAAAAATAACTTCCTTGTTTGCAATATCACAATTATTATTAATATCGAGAAGAGTCCCGTATTTTATGACGTTTCTCCCCCTGGACAATTCAAAATGTTTCGACGCACTTTGGTGCAGCTTCGCCGCGTGTGAGGCCATTGATATTGGGAGACAAGAGGTCATCTCCGTACAGTAAGAACATAAGAACATAAGAACATAAGAACGAAGGAACACTGCAGAAGGCCTACTGGCCCATGCGAGGCAGGTCCAAGTCTCCTACCGGCTTAAGCCAATGCACCCAACCTAGTCAGGTCAGGTCACATTGACTTAAGGGAGGAACACGGCAACCGACCTGGTAGCACAAGCTATCACGTCTAACTCACACCCACCCACATCTACTCATGTATTTATCCAAACCTATTTTTAAAAGCTACACAACGTTCTAGCTCTATAACGGTACTTGGGAGTTTGTTCCACTCATCCACAACTCTATTACCAAACCAGTACTTTCCTATATCCTCCTGAATCTGAATTTTTCCAACTTAAAACCATTGCTGCGAGTCCTGTCTAGGCTAGATATTTTCAGCACACTATTTACATCCCCTTTATTTATTCCTGTCTTCCATTTATACACCTCAATCATATCCCCCCTAATTCTACGTCTTTCTAGAGAGTGCAGTTTCAGGGCCCTTAGTCTATCCTCATAGGGAAGGTTTCTGATACATGGGATCAACTTTGTCATCCTCCTTTGTACATTTCCAGAGAATTTATATCCATTCTGTAATACGGTGACCAAAACTGTGCAGCATAATCTAAATGAGGCCTAACCAAGGATGTATAGAGTTGAAGAACAACCTGAGGACTCCTATTATTTATGCTTCTTGATATGAAGCCAAGGATTCTATTAGCTTTATTGCGAACACTTATGCACTGTTGTCTTGGTTTCAGATTACTGCTAACCAGAACTCCTAAATCTTTTTCGCAATCCGTAATATTAAGATCTACATTATTTAGTTTATATGTGGCATGGTTATTGTCCTGTCCAACATTTAGAACTTTGCATTTGTCTATATTAAACTGCATCTGCCACTTCTCCTCGTTTGGGTATTAGTACAACAACGTTAGTGGTTTGAACATTAAAATGGTATAAAATACCGACAGGTTGTTAGGTAAGACACATATGCAACAGTTAGGTATCTTTATTATGAAACGTTTCGCCTACACAGTAGGCTTCTTCAGTCAAGTACAGAAAAGTTGATAGAAGCAGAAGATACTTGAAGACGATGTAATCAGTCCATCACCCTTAAAGTTTTGAGGTGGTCAGTCCCTCAGTCTGGAGAAGAGCATTGTTCCGTTGTCTGAAACAATATGGAGATGAAGTGACAGGATGGAGCTTTTTATAGCGCCAAGAGGTGAGACGTAGGCCACTAGGAGAGGTAAGAACTCAGATGTTGAGAGGTCAGGTCCCTCTCAAATCCAGCCCCTCTCACTAGTGGAAGTTGTCGAAGTTGATTGCAGGTCTGTACCAAGATACCCTGTCACTTCATCTCCATATTGTTTCATACTATGGAACAATGTTCTTCTCCAGACTGAGGGACTGACCACCTCAAAACTTTAAGGGTGATGGACTGATTACATCGTCTTCAAGTATCTTCTGCTTCTATCAACTTTTCTGTACTTGACTGAAGAAGCCTACTGTGTAGGCGAAACGTTTCATAATAAAGATACCTAACTGTTGCATATGTGTCTTACCTAACAACGTTAGTGGTTTACATTGAAGGAACTGTACCGGGTACAGCAGCCCCCGCTTTAGAGCACTTCACTTTACAACATTTCGCTAATACAGCGGTTTTCAGTTACATCCATTCTTCATTTCAGACTTCAGGCTCTGGTGGCCTGGTGGTTAACGCTCTCGCTTCACACGGTGAGGGCCTGGGTTCGATTCCCAGCCAGAGTAGAAACATTGGACGTGTTTCTTTCCACCTGTTGTCTATGTTCCCCATCAGTAAAATGGGTACCTGGGTGTTAGTCGACTGGTGTGGGTCGCATCCTGGGACACTGACCTAAGGAGGCCTGGTCACAGACCGGGCCGCGGGGGCGTTGACCCCCGGAACTCACTCCAGGTAAACCAGTCACTATAAGCTGAGGATGAAAATATTTTAAGCTAATTAATGTGTGTACTGTGTATGCATTTTTAAGTATAAACATGTTATCAGGATTTTATATGCATTTAAAACTGAAAAATAACTGTGATTCACTTTACAGCAGTAACCTGCTGTATAAGCGGGTCAGTCATATACATACGCCTCAGTATTCTAATGACGTTGTTAGGTGGTACCATTATCCCTGAACACTTCACAATGACGTTGTTAGGTGGTATCATTCTCCCTGAACACTTCACAATGCTCGGCACCCACCATGCTTATATCTGTTTCTTTATTCCCATTATTCCATATTTCATTTCTATAGCTTCGTATGTCATCCTTACAATATCATATAGCGAGCATTTTGTGGGGAATCTTAAATGAATACTCGGTCAAATTAAGATATATGTGCAAGCCAATCGCAAACAGGCAATATCAACGATGTAAACAAATTACTGAGGATGGAAAACATTAGCCCAAGGTTTTTCACAATTATGGTCTTCGCCAGGAGCTATGCAATATCGCATTCTTTTATCAAGTAAAAATCATGCATTACATAATCATATATAGTTTATTGAGTTAAAACGCGCACATAAGAACCTGTATTCACATAAACTTCAGTTTGATATTCAGATCTCTCCTTTTGCTCTTCTTGGTACCCCTTGTTCTTCCTGTAAAGCCGCTGCGCGGGTTCCACTAGAGGCTGGGCGCTTTCTTGATCATACCACGACTGTGGACGTCCGCTTCATGAAGTTGAGTTAGCTGGTACAATACTCAGAGAAGGAAGACGGAGCTTCCACACTCCTTGTGTTGGATAACCCGCAAAGATTTACCTCATACACATAAAATAACTTTAATTCTCGTGCTGTTGAAAATGTTATTCAAGTTTAAATCAGACATTTCCAATCACACAGAGGAAACTCTTCGTCAGCTTCAAGACAGCAGGGCCAAGCTGGTGATAGGAGACACTACCTTGGAAAAGAAGATTGAGACTTCACTTGTACTATATAAAATGCCTACCATTTTAGTTATGAATGGTCCATCTAGTATCAGCGGAGCTCTTAACCTGCGAGAGATCCTGGAGGACACGTCTCTCCCATTTAAGGACTGTGCAGAGGTAAGTAGCGTCATTACATCAATGGTAAACAAATCTTAGAGGTTGATTAATAAGACACTTGCAACACTTGGGGGTCTTTATTGGAGATATAGCCAGGTGTTCCACAAGGGTTTTATTCGTCAGGTAATTATCGGTTTGAATCTCCATTTTAGGCATTGCCTCGGGAATCTTTCATCTCATTCGTTGATTTTTATGATTATTTTTGTCTTAAAAATGAAGAGTAAGATTCAGCATTGAAAACTAGGATATTCATGTGTTCTTTCTTTGTATTAGGTTACCGGCGAAGAAGTGGCACTGATGCCATACTCAAGTGGCACCACAGGCAATCCCAAAGGCGTGTCTCTCTCCCATCGTGCACTTGCCGCCAATGTTAATATGATTGTTCATCCAAGCGTCTTCGTTCCTCGTGAAACAACAGGTCAGAATCATGCTAAATTATCACTGCACTCAACCCACAGGGTTAAGACAGCGCCTGGGAAACGGGAGGTAATCAGGTTTGATCCGAGAGAAGGCTAGCTAAAATTACTCAGTATATTCAGGAGGCCTTCACTAGCGTCAAGGAACCTCCCTCTACTCCCTGGAAGGACGAATCACGCACAAGCTGCAATAACACTATCACATGGCTTCGGTGTAATTTGTGTTTTTAAGTTTTCTCATGTATGTGCTCAACCCGAGGTACAGACAAATTCCTTTCCTCGTACAATTCCTACCATAGGACAAGACCTCTTAATACCCTACTCGAAAGACGTCCCTGAAACGCTGCACTAACCAGTCTTTCTCTCTTTCACACGATTGTAAAGATGTTCTAAACCTCAGCCAGTTTAATAACAATAATATTATCTTTTCTTTCCCCAACCCACTTCGTCCTCATCTCTTTATGGAGATTTTAATCTAGTCATAACTACCCACGCAGAATCGTATCAGGAGAGCTTCTTGTGCTACCTGCCTTTCTTCCACATCTACGGAATCTTGGTGAAGATCCTGGTGGGACTACGGAGGGGTATCAAGCTGGTGTGTGTGCCTAAATTTAACCCAGACATCTTCGTCAAGGATGTCAAGCAACACAAGGTATGTGTGGAAGGCAGCAACAGAAGGTGTGTATGGAAGGCAGAACACAAGGTATGTGTAGAAGGTAGCAACACAAGGTGTGTAGAACGTAGCAATGCAAGTTAGGAAAGGCAAGAATCCAAAGTGTGTATGGAAGGAAGCATCAAAAAGTCCGTTTAAAGGCAGCAGAAGATCCGTTAAAAAGGCAGCAGCACAAGGTCCGTTGAGAAGCCAGTAACACAAAGTCCTTTGGACAGGCAGCAACACAAGGTACGTATGGAAAGCGGCAACACAAGGTATGTTGAAAAGGCAGCAACACAAGGTACGTAATATAGAAAGCAGCAACGCAAGGTACTGTGGAAAAGGACAGTTCAGGACATTTATTAGAGGAAACGCTTCGCCCTGAGTGGCTTCGTCAGTCCTAAAGTACTGATAAAACCACTGGCTTTATCAGTACAATAACAGGACAAAAACTGACGACTGGAGAGGTAAGACAAGGAAATCAGTCCCTCAGTCTAGCAGCAGGTGTTTCGTAGTCTTGATGAATCAACTTGTGTTGATGAATCAACTTGTGTCTAAATCTTCAGCTTGTCGGTATTATATGCCATTCATGTTATAACACAGGGCCTGTTGAGAAGGTAGTGACACAGGGCCTGTTGAGAAGCTAGTGACACAGGGCCTGTTGAGAAGGTAGTGATACAGGGCCTGTTGAGAAGGTAGTGACACAGGGCCTGTTGAGAAGGCAGTGACACAGGGCCTGTTGAGAAGGTAGTGACACAGGGCCTGTTGAGAAGGCAGTGACACAGGGTCTGTTGAGAAGGCAGTGACACAGGGTCTGTTGAGAAGACAGTGACACAGGGTCTGTTGAGAAGGCAGTGACACAGGGTCTGTTGAGAAGGCAGTGACACAGGGTCCGTTGAGAAGGCAGTGACACAGGGTCTGTTGAGAAGGCAGTGACACAGGGTCTGTTGAGAAGGCAGTGACACAGGGTCTGTTGAGAAGGCAGTGACACAGGGTCCGTTGAGAAGGCAGTGACACAGGGTCTGTTGAGAAGGCAGTGACACAGGGTCTGTTGAGAAGGCAGTGACACAGGATCCGTTGAGAAGGCAGTGACACAGGGTCTGTTGAGAAGGCAGTGACACAGGGTCTGTTGACAAGGCAGTGACACAGGGCCTGCTGAGAAGGCAGTGACACAGGGTCCGTTGAGAAGGCAGTGACACAGGGTCCGTTGAGAAGGCAGTGACACAGGGTCTGTTGAGAAGGCAGTGACACAGGGTCCGTTGAGAAGGCAGTGACACAGGGTCCGTTGAGAAGGCAGTGACACAGGGTCCGTTGAGAAGGCAGTGACACAGGGTCTACTGAGAAGGCAGTGACACAGGGTCTGTTGAGAAGGCAGTGACACAGGGTCTGTTGAGAAGGCAGTGACACAGGGTCTGTTGAGAAGGCAGTGACACAGGGTCTGTTGAGAAGGCAGTGACACAGGGTCTGTTGAGAAGGCAGTGACACAGGGTCTGTTGACAAGGCAGTGACACAGGGCCTGTTGAGAAGGCAGCGACACAGGGTCCGTTGAGAAGGCAGTGACACAGGGTCCGTTGAGAAGGCAGTGACACAGGGCCTGTTGAGAAGGCAGTGACACAGGGTCCGTTGAGAAGGCAGTGACACAGGGTCCGTTGAGAAGGCAGTGACACAGGGTCCGTTGAGAAGGCAGTGACACAGGGTTCGTTGAGAAGGCAGTGACACAGGGTCTACTGAGAAGGCAGTGACACAGGGTCGGTTGAGAAGGCAGTGACACAGGGTCTGTTGAGAAGGCAGTGACACAGGGTCTGTTGAGAAGGCAGTGACACAGGGTCTGTTGAGAAGGCAGTGACACAGGGTCCTTTGAGAAGGCAGTGACACAGGGTCTGTTGAGAAGGCAGTGACACAGGGTCTGTTGACAAGGCAGTGACACAGGGCCTGTTGAGAAGGTAGTGACACAGGGTCCGTTGAGAAGGCAGTGACACAGGGTCCGTTGAGAAGGCAGTGACACAGGGCCTGTTGAGAAAGGCAGTGACACAGGGTCCGTTGAGAAGGCAGTGACACAGGGTCCGTTGAGAAGGCAGTGACACAGGGTCCGTTGAGAAGGCAGTGACACAGGGTCCGTTGAGAAGGCAGTGACACAGGGTCTACTGAGAAGGCAGTGACACAGGGTCCGTTGAGAAGGCAGTGACACAGGGTCTGTTGAGAAGGCAATGATACAGGGTCCGTTGAGAAGTCAGTGACACAGGGTCCGTTGAGAAGGCAGTGACACAGGGTCCGTTGAGAAGGCAGTGACACAGGGTCTGTTGAGAAGGCAGTGACACAGGGTCCGTTGAGAAGGCAGTGACACAGGGTCCGTTGAGAAGGTAGTGACACAGGGTCCGTTGAGAAGACAGTGACACAGGGTCTGTTGAGAAGGCAGTGACACAGGGTCTGTTGAGAAGGCAGTGACACAGGATCTGTTGAGAAGGCAGTGACACAGGGTCCGTTGAGAAAGCAGTGACACAGGGTCCGTTGAGAAGGCAGTGACACAGGGTCCGTTGAGAAGGCGGTGACACAGGGTCCGTTGAGAAGCCAGTGACACAGGGTCTGTTGAGAAGGCAGTGACACAGGGTCCGTTGAGAAGGCAGTGACACAGGGTCCGTTGAGAAGGCAGTGACACAGGGTCCGTAGAGAAGGCAGTGACACAGGGTCCGTAGAGAAGTCAGTGACACAGGGTACGTTGAGATGGCAGTGACACAGGGTCCGTTGGGAAGGCAGAGACACAGGGTCCGTTGAGAAGGCAGTGACACAAGGTCCTTTGAGAAGGCAGTGACACAGGGTCCGTTGAGAAGGCAGTGACACAGGGTCCGTAGAGAAGGCAGTGACACAGGGTCCGTTGAGAAGGCAGTGACACAGGGTCCGTTGAGAAGGCAGTGACATAGGGTCCGTTGAGAAGGCAGTGACACAGGGTCGGTAGAGAAGGCAGTGACACAGGGTCCGTAGAGAACTCAGTGACACAGGGTCCGTTGAGAAGACAGTGACACAGGGTCCGTTGAGAAGGCAGTGACACAGGGTCCGTTGAGAAGGCAGTGACACAGGGTCCGTTGAGAAGGCAGTGACACAGGGTCCGTAGAGAAGGCAGTGACACAGGGTCCGTTGAGAAGGCAGTGACACAGGGTCCGTTGAGAAGGCTGCGATACAGGGTCCGTAGAGAAGGCAGTGACACAGGGTCCGTTGAGAAGGCAGTGACACAGGGTCCGTTGAGAAGGCAGTGACACAGGGTCCGTTGAGAAGGCAGTGACACAGGGTCCGTAGAGAAGTCAGTGACACAGGGTCCGTTGAGAAGGCAGTGACACAGGGTCCGTTGAAAAGGCAGTGACACAGGGTCCGTTGAGAAGGCAGTGACACAGGGTCCGTTGAGAAGGCAGTGACACAGGGTCTGTTGAAAAGGCAGTGACACAGGGTCCGTTGAGAAGGCAGTGACACAGGGTCCGTAGAGAAGTCAGTGACACAGGGTCCGTTGAGAAGGCAGTGACACAGGGTCCGTTGAAAAGGCAGTGACACAGGGTCCGTTGAAAAGTCAGTGACACAAGGTCCGTTGAGAAGGCAGTGACACAGGGTCCGTTGAGAAGGCAGTGACACAGGGTCTGTTGAAAAGGCAGTGACACAGGGTCCGTTGAGAAGGCAGTGACACAGGGTCTGTTGAAAAGGCAGTGATACAGGGTCTGTTGAGAAGGCAGTGACACAGGGTCCGTAGAGAAGGCAGTGACACAGGGTCCGTTGAGAAGGCAGTGACACAGGATCCGTTGAAAAGGCAGTGACACAGGGTCCGTTGAAAAGGCAGTGACACAGGGTCCGTTGAGAAGGCAGTGACACAGGGTCCATTGAGAAGGCAGTGACACAGGGTCTGTTGAAAAGGCAGTGACACAGGGTCCGTTGAAAAGGCAGTGACACAGGGTCCGTTGAGAAGGCAGTGACACAGGGTCCGTTGAGAAGGCAGTGACACAGGGTCTGTTGAAAAGGCAGTGACACAGGGTCTGTTGAGAAGGCAGTGACACAGGGTCCGTAGAGAAGGCAGTGACACAGGGTCCGTTGAGAAGGCAGTGACACAGGATCCGTTGAAAAGGCTGTGACACAGGGTCCGTTGAATAGGCAGTGACACAGGATCCGTTGAGAAGGCAGTGACACAGGGTCCGTTGAGAAGGCAGTGACACAGGGTCTGTTGAAAAGGCAGTGACACAGGGTCCGTTGAGAAGGCAGTGACACAGGGTCCGTTGAGAAGGCAGTGACACAGGGTCCGTTGAGAAGGCAGTGACACAGGGTCCGTTGAAAAGGCAGTGACACAGGGTCCGTTGAAAAGGCAGTGACACAGGGTCTGTTGAAAAGGCAGTGACACAGGGTCTGTTGAAAAGGCAGTGACACAGGGTCCGTTGAGAAGGCAGTGACACAGGGTCCGTTGAAAAGGCAGTGACACAGGGTCTGTTGAGAAGGCAGTGACACAGGGTCCGTAGAGAAGGTATTTTTATCAAGGAGAAATCTTTATGCTAACGTAGGTTACTGAGTTCAGTGTTGTCAAGACAACTGCTCCACTACAATCTGCACTATATTCTTAGTACAGTGCTACTACAGTGTGCACTATATTCTAAATACAGTGTCACTACTGTGTACTATATTCTCAATACAGTGCCACTATAGTGTGCAATGTATTCTCAAAACAGTGTCACTACAGTGTGCCAGTATATGCCCAGTACAGTGCCACTACAGTGTACACTATAATTCCAGTACAGTGGCAGTACAATGATGCGATTCGGGTTAAATAGCAACGCTCTTCTTGCCGAATAAGCCAAGCGAAAATTTGCGTATGCAATAATTTCGCAAAAACCGTTCTGAACTTAACGAAAAAATATATTTCATTTTGTTTGTTTATTATTAAATTACTGTAAACTTATCTAAAATATAGTTATTTCGATTAAGCTAAATTAAATTGCGCTTGTTATAATAAGGTCAAGTACCATTGTGTGTCCATACCTTCCCTGTCCACCTCGCTTATATATACCGGTTCCCTCACTCTTTTGTGTTTGTCCTGTTTCCTGACGAACCTTACCAAACCATCTATTGTGTTTGTAAATGGTCCAACTCGGACCGAAACGTTGTCATAAGCTTTTCTCTATCCTGTGTGCAGGTTATTTGTGTATTGCTCCAGTGCCTTTCTGTCCATTCTAACTTTTTAGTTTCAACTTCTAGGTAAGACTCCTTCACACAGTTCCATCTGTGTTAAATTTCTTGAATCATTCCCCGTGGAGCACACCCGAGGCCTTGGCGTCCGTTGATGCAGTATTGTGTGGTGCTGCCCCAGTTCCTGCCACCTCGGCAACAGTATTCAGGGAGAAAATTAAGAAACATATCTTCTTCCAGGAAGGTAAGAAATTTTAGGTTGTTGGGGCAGCATGACACATATGGGATTGGTGATTAAATTGATTATTTTACTGAGATTGTCGCCTGTATGTGCGTGATTAACGCCGCTTCTCATCTCGACATTTTTGTAAATATATATATATATATATATATATATATATATATATATATATATATATATATATATATATATATATATATATATATATATAATGCAATAAGATCACAGTAAACAGGTGATTTCAAATATGCAAAACAACCACTCTGAAAGAATAGAGTAAATTCCAAGCGCTTTCGTGACTACTCACATTATCAAGGAACTATGAAAGTGAAGCATCCAAGGAAGCTATATAAGGGGTCCGGCAACACCTCACTATCAGATCCCACAACGGTTAAACACGTGACACGCTTGGGGTGAGTTGTGCAAGGGACCTATCCAAGTTGGCTCGCCGCGTGTCACGTGTTTAACCGTTGTGGGATCTGATAGTGAGGTGCTGGCCAGACCCCTTATAGCTTCCTTGGATGCTTCACTTTCTAAGTTCCTTGATAATGTGAGTAGTCACGAAAGCGCTTGGAATTTCTCTATTCTTTCAGAGTGGTTGTTTTGCATATATATATATATATATATATATATATATATATTATATATATATATATAAAAATATATATATTATATATATATATATATATATATATATATATATATATATTAACAAGTCGGCAGTCTCCCACCGAGGCAAGGTGACCCAAAAAGAAAGAAAATCCCCAAAATGAAAATACTTTCATCGTATGGGGTGCATAATAAACATATTAAACTAAACTAACGTCATTCAACACTTTCACCTCACTCACACATAATCACTGTTTTTGCAGAGGTGCTCAGAATACAACAGTTTAGAAGTATATATGTATAAAGATACACAACATATCCCTCCAAACTGCTAATATCCCGAACCCCTCCTTTAGAGTGCAGGCATTGTACTTCCCATTTCCAGGACTCAAGTCCGACTATATGAAATAACCAGTTTCCCTGAATCCCTTCACTAAAGTGATTCTAAAGAAATGTCTTTAGGTACACCGCAGGGAGGAGTTCTTAGTCCCATGCTATTTAATATTCTGATTAATGTTCTCCTAAATGCTCTACCTGCCTCACCTAAACATATAGCTATAAGCTATGCTGATGATATCATGATCCATACAACAGGGCATAAGAAGATGAATACCATTCTTAATGAAGTTCAAGCAATTTGTAATCGACTAGGCCTCATAATATCTTCCTCTAAAACTAAGATATGAACAAGCAAACGACATCCCCCACCCATCTATTTGCAGGGTGAAATCATTAGCTACGTTAAAACTTACAGATATCTTTGGTGTAGATGTACCCTTTAACAAATCCACTATACCACAACTAAACAAGAAATGCAAAGCTAGGCTAAATGCACTCAAAGCTGTTGCTGGCTACAACCCCAACTATGGTGCTAATGTGAGAATCGTGAGAATGATGTACATAGCCTATGTTAGGTCCTCAATTGATTATGCTGCTCCCATGTTGATATTAGCTAGAGAAAGTTCTCTCCGACCCTTGGAGTTAATGCAAAATGAAGCTCTCAGGATTATTCTTGGCTGTCCCAGATCTACAAAAGTTCTTAACATGAGGAAGGAGCTTGGTATTTCTAGTATCAGTGATAGGATTATTGAGATTAACACTGTACTCGGTATTAGAATGTTGAGAAACGAACCAGACACTGTCACAATGAATCTTACCAAGTGTCTAGAGGTAAATACACACAGATCTAAATGGATTGTGAAAACGTGCAATTGCATCAAGTTTTATAACCTGCATGAACTGTATCACTGTAGGCAACAAGAGCATTTCACCCCTCCATGGAAGATGTGTTCATTTAATATCACATACCTACAAGTCCCTCCCAAGAAGCTCATTGCTAGTAATCCCTCCCTTAAATCTCTTGTTAGAGCAACTGCTCAAGAAGAAATTTCTCACCTAGCTGGTAGTAATAATTTATCACAAGTTATATACACTGATGGATCTAAACAGGAGTCTTCTGGCAGGGCTGCATCTGCTCTTGTTGCCACCTCCCTAGTTAAGAACGATAATAAATTTGTTGAGTTAGGCATAAGAATTAACAACTGGGCGTCTACACTGCAAACTGAATTGTTTGCAATCCTAATGGCGCTAAAGCTAACCTATGACACTGAGCGTGACTCTATTATCATTACTGATTCTATGTCATCATTGAAGGCTCTTGACTCATATAATGACTCCAACAACATGCTCATTGGTGAAGCCAGGTATAGATTCTCAAAAATTAGGGACAAAGGAATTAATGTACAATTGCTATGGATCCCATCACACACTGGATTACTCCTTCATGATAAAGTTGATATGTTAGCCAAGAAGAGTACCCAGAAGGAGAATGTAGAATATAACTTTGGTATAACTGTGTCTAGCATTAGGAATAACATTAGGAGAGAAGTAAATAATGAAAATGATTGTTATAGGAATGCATTTAGAAGTCTGAGTAGATCTATAACCCACTATGATAACATGAACGTAGATAAGTATGTTTATGGAGCAACGTGCAATGTGAACAGACTGACTGATGTTGTAGTGGCCAGGCTTAGGCTTGGTTACAAGTACTTCTGGCAGTTTGGGAGACACACACATGATGATCAAACTAAATGCAAATTATGTGATCAGGCATATGGTCACTGTCTTGAACACTATGTGCTTAATTGTCCACTTATTGAGGAATACAGACAGTATAATAACCTATGTGACATGTCAAGATATCTTATTAATGAAAATAAGATACCAGATATACTAAGCAAATTTCCTAAATTTACTTGTAACAGATAATTGAACTATAGTTATGTAGATATAAATCCATATGTATTCCTGTTAACCCTTTGGGACCTAGTTTCTAGGCCTTTTGTGTATCCACATGCTCTCGCGCTACCGTCCACAGGATGGATATGGGGTGCACAATAAACTAGCCACTTCGGTGGCAAAATCTAAATCTTCACTAAATATTACCCTGCTCACACTCCAACAGATCGTCAGGTCCCAAAAACCATTCGTCTCCATTCACTCCTATCGAACACGCTCATGCACGCCTGCTGGAAGTCCAAGCCCCTCGCCCACAAAACCTCCCTTACCCCTTCCTTCCAACCTTTTCGAGGATGACCCCTACCCCGCCTTCCTTTCCCTACAGATTTATACGCTCTCCATGTCATCCTACTTTGATCCATTCTCTCTAAATGACCAAACCACCTCAACAACCCCTCTTCAGCCCTCTGACTAATACTTTTATTAACTCCACACCTCCTAATTTCCACACTCCGAATTTTCTGCATAATATTTACACCACACATTGCCCTTAGACAGGACATCTCCACTGCCTCCAACCGTCTCCTCGCTGCAGCATTTACCACCCAAGCTTCACATCCATATAAGAGTGTTGGTACTACTATACTTTCATACATTCCCTTCTTTGCCTCCATAGATAACATTTTTTGTCTCGACATATACGTCAACGCACCACTCGCCTTTTTTCCTTCATCAATTCTATGATTAACCTCATCCTTCATAAATCCATCCGCCGACACGTCAATTCCCAAATATCTGAAAACATTCACTTCTTCCATACTCCTCCTCCCCAATTTAATATCCAATTTTTCTTTATCTAAATAATTTGATACTCTCATCACCTTACTCTTTTCTTTGTTCACTTTCAACTTTCTACCTTTACACACACTCCCAAACTCATCCACTAACCTTTGCAAATTTTCTTTAGAATCTCCCATAAGCACAGTATCATCAGCAAAAAGTAACTGTGTCAATTCCCATTTTGTATTTGATTCCCCATAATTTAATCCCACCCCTCTTCCGAACACCCTAGCATTTACTTCCTTTACAACCCCATCTATAATATAATATATATATATATATATATATATATATATATATATATATATATATATATATATATATATATATATATATTATATATATATATATGTAGTAGGTTGGTAGACAGCAACCAACTCTCAACGAATATGACTCCCTCCTGAGAGCAATCTTTAAGAAGGCACTGAATCTGTCACTGGAAGATCAGCAATGTGATCAGCCAACTCTTCCAGTGCGGCAGGTATAGGGGTGCGCAAAGCAACGGAGATAGCTTTACCTGCATTTCTGTCCTCGTGTTTGGCTTCCAGTGGACTAGTCAAGGATATTGTCCCCGAACGCTTGAGAGGTACAGTAGGAGCTCAAGTTCCCAGGTTCACTGAAGCAGCCATATGGATACACAAAAGGCCTAGGAACTAGGCCCCAAAAGGTTAACAGGTGAACATATGGTTTTTTTTTATCTACACATCTACAGTTCGCTTATCTGTTACAAGCAAATCTAGGAAATTTGCTGAGTGTATCTGGTATCTTGCGTTACCGTCCATAGGATGGATATGCGGTGCACAATAAACTAGCCACTTCGGTGGCAAAATCTAAATCTCTGAAGCAGCCATGCTGTGGGACACCCATGTAGACCACTCAAGCAGACCAGTTCCTCCTAAAGAGCACAAACAGTCCCACTGGGACAAACCGATAATGGAAAAAATAGCCAACACAGTGCTCACCAACGCTTCAGAAAAGAACAAAGCTCGTCTCCTAGCGGTGAAGACACCACATTTAGGAGATTTCCTTTGAGCTGTTCCCAATTCCTCCCTGGGCACTCGACTCCACCCACAGGCCATTTGGATTGGTGCTGCTCTTCGCCTAGCTGCCCCCATACTCACCAAGCATAGGTGTACATGCGGCATGGCGTCAGCTGATCAATTTGAACTTCATGGTCTCGTGTGTCATACATCAGAAGGAAAGACGTGAGGAGGTCAACGACATCATAAAAAGAAGTCTCGCCACAGCCCGTTGCCCAATGAACGGGAACCGCAAGTACAGAGGCCTGATGAAAGTCAAAAGCGTCCTGATGGAGTCACTATGCTACCCTAGAAGGATGGTAATCAGATTGCCTGGGACAACACCTGTGCCGCCACTTTGGCGGACACCTACTTGCCATTCCCAGAGGATCCGCATATGTAGGCCTGTCAGAGACCCATGGAGCATGGGGCAAGTGTGCTCTAAAGTTCCTCAAAGAGCTGGGTGAAAAGCTCACCACAGAAACTAATGATCACAATCGAACACAGAGAGTAGTGGTCAACAGAGTTAAATGGGAAGCTGCCAAAGTGAAAAGCTCTGTTCCACAAGGCACAGTACTCGACCCCATCCTGTTCCTCATCCTCATATCAGACATAGACCGAGATGTAATCCACAGCACTGTGTCATCCTTTCCAGACGATACTAAAATCTGCATGAGACTGTCATCTGTTGAGGACACCGTTAACCTCCAAGAAGATGTAAACAAAGTTTTCCAATTGACAACAGAAAATAATATGATGCTCAATGAAGACAAATTCCAACTACTCCGTTATGGAAAACTGGAGGAGAAAATATCTAGAACTGGTTATACTACAAACTCTGATCATACAATAGAGCGGAAAAATAATGTGAGGTACCTGGGAGTAGTAATGTCTGAGGATCTCGCTGTCAAGGATCACAACAGTGCCACGATCACAGCTGCAAAGAAAATAATAGGATGAATAATGAGAACGTTCAAAACAAGAGATGCCAAGCCAATGATGATCCTTTTCAAATCACTTGTTCTCTCTAGGCTGGAATACTGCTGTACATTAACATCTCCGTTCAAAGCAGGTGAAATTGCAGATCTAGAGAGTGTACAGAGAACCTTTACTGCACATATGAGTTCTATAATACACCTTAACTACTTGGAACGCTTGGAAGCACTTGATTTGTACTCGTTGGAATGCAGGCAAGAGAGATATAATCTACACCTGAAAAATCCAAGAGGAAAATAGACTTTTTTAAGAGTTGAAGGTAACTTCTAAGAGCTAAAATAGACAATTCAAAGGGTTAAGGTGACAGTTCTAAGAGTTTGAAGGAACAGTTCTAAAGTTAAAGGTAACATTCAAATTAAAAGGTAGCATTTCTAAGATTTTAAAGGGTAACATTTCTAAGAGTTGAAGGTAACAGTGGCCTAAACTGAAAGTAAAAATCGAAAATACTCTAACAAAAAAAACAAAACTGTATAAGAAAGATTTCGGCTACGCCTTGAATCCTTTTTTTATGCCATAAACAAAGGTTCACTTCAAAACAATTCTATAATCCATCACCTCTTTACTTGATTTTCCGGAATTTAACTTTTTTGTTTGAAAAAAACGCAAGTTTCCGTAATTCTTAGCCCTCCTTTTTTGTTGAAAATTTAAAACCCAACCCCCCGCCGGGGTTGAACCCGCGGTCAAGAATCTCAAAACTCCACCCGTCGCTTTAGCCACTTGGAGTTTTGAGACTCATGCCCCGGGGGTTCAACCCCGGGCCGGGGGATGGTTTTTTGCAATCTGTCTTTTACGATTCGATCTTGTTGATAATTTTCTTTCTCAAAAATTCAGAATTTTGTAATGCGGGGGTTTTTTGATTTAAAAATTTCTGTCTCAGACCATAAAGGGACTGATTGTTTCTTCGACTCTACTCTATACAGAGGTTCCATCCATTTTCTACCAACTCGAAATTTTCATTCAAGAGTGCCGCGAGGAGAGCCAATCATATTATATTCGCTCAGTGTAGCTATAGTGTGCATTTCAACCTGTTTAGATCCCTTTATCAATAAAAACCAAGAATATTACTTGCTTGTAAAAGGGGTTTCCTGGAAAATCTCCTTGACTTTTAATGACTGCAATTTATTTATTGGACAATTTTACGTCATTTTAAAAAGACACAAACAAATATAAATTCCATAAATTTCTTCCCCCTCGCCCTTACCCGGGACTTAAAACTTCCCATTCCCTCCCACAGATGATGTCGGGATTTTTCCTAATAAAGGGGCCACAGCAGCCACAATCGACAGTAAAGGGTTTGGCTTCACACAGGGGATACGTTGTTAGAGAAAAAGGGTTATTTTTACCAACTGACCGAACAAAAAAATGATCAAGGAAAGGGTTTTGCAAGTAAGTAATAAAGACAGTCTAAGCATCACTTAACGTTATTTTAAAACCTTTAAAAACTTAACTGACCTATTATAATAAGTGAAATTTTTAATTTTAGCCTAATCCAACCAAATATTTTTGATAAGTTTACAAATTTAAATAAACAAACAATGAAATGTATTTTTTTCTTAGTTCAGAACGATTTTTGCGAAATTAGGGCAAACAAATTTTTCGCTTCCTTTGGGCACGACATATACAAAAAATGTATAATTATATTTTAATTTTAAATATATTAATTATATAATATATATTATAAATAACCAAAAAAGAACATTAGAAAACTTTTTTCCCAAACTTTTCGCCTACACATATTTCTTCTCGAATCAGAAGTAAAAGGGAACATAAGATGTGAAGACGAGTAATCAGTCCATCACCCTTGAATCGTAAAAATTTGAGGTTGTCAGTCCTCGCCGGGAAAATTCAGTTCCAATCGGGAACTATCTGAAACAAGCGACGTGCGGAGACAAAATACTGTCGGAAGGAAGGTCAGAGTAAGTTAGTAGTATATGAAATGTAGCCACTGAGAGGTCATATACCTTTTTGTATACCTTTTTGATTTTCATATTAATATTATATATATATATTAAAAAAATTTAAAATAAAAAATTATATATATAATATATATATAATATATATATAAATATTATATAATAAAAATATATATAAAAATAAATATATATATAAAAAAAATTATAAATATAAAAATTTTTAGCGCACGCCGATTCCCCCCAAAGGGCAGGGGGGCCCAAAAAAAAGAAAAATTTTCCACCATCATTCACTCCATCACGTCTGCCAAAGGGGTGTTTTACACTACAGTTTTTAAAACTGCAACTTAACACCCTTTTCCTTCAGGGGGAAATTTTTAACACATTTTTCGGTTCAAAACCTGGAAGTGAAAAAAGGTGATAATTATCTTCATACCAAAAGCTGAAAATACTTAATTTCCGGGATCAAAAACCCTCCCCTGGCTTCAAGACACTCCTAATGTACCTTGAAAATGTTCTTTACATTTTTAAAGTCGACTTATTATCAAAAAGGGAAATCACTATTAACAAAAAATCAAGGGCGATAATAACGTTTTCTACCTGGGCCAATACTAAAAAGGGTTTGTTGTGTGTCGTCTGTTTCTTAAAATACTTTTTTCCCTTTTTGATATGTATATGTACAAGATACAATAACTAACGTACTTCAAAAAACCAAATATTAAATTTAAGCAATAATTCAACTCAGTAAGAATTCACAAAAAACCCATCCCGGCAACACACCCCCACCCCCCACCTTCATAATTAAATTACTCACTTTTCAACATCCACACTTACACTGTGCAATCTACATATACGGCCCTTAAAATTTCCTATATTAACCTTGACCTAAAACGCTTTTTTTGTATTGTACAGGACCCACAGCATAACACCAACAAAAACATCCTATGACTTTCCCCATTTTCGACTAAACCTTTACAAATATTCAATGTTTTCAAAGGCCCTAAAATCGGAAACCCACCTAAAAAATCTAAAACTGCAGACACATTCATCAGTTCAAACTACATTTTAAAAACTCAACTCCTGATCCACCCCGACAACTAACAAAATGAAACCCCTGGGGGTTCAAAATTCACTCACCCCCACCCACTGAAAAAACCCAAAATACGAATCTTAATCTTAATATAATGAATCCTAACTAGTTATAAGTTTGCCTATGATACTCCAATAAGACACTGAATCGTCCAAAAAAAAAGCATTCACATTCAAAACTCACAGACTATAATGTAGTCACTTAGCCTTAAATACCAAAATCTTTAATAATTTAAAGTTTAGAATTAATCAAAGTCGCCCGAAATGCCTACCAAAGTAGGTATCCTATGGCCCCCCTCGTAATTATTTTTTTAAAAAGAAAAACCACACAAATCCAAAATCGAAACCCCGCATTGAAAATCCTTAAAGAAAAAACTGATTGATTTATTGATTGATATATTTTCTCGACCAATGTATTTTAAAAAAAAAAAAAAGTAACTCTCTTTTCATGTATACTTGTAGTTTATTTTTAACGATTACTTCGGGAATTTTTTCAAAAAAAAAAAAGGTTTTTCTGTTAATCTAATTCATTTCCTTGGAATTTTTCCCAAATTTGTCAAATATTATTAATATCTTGTCGATGGGGAAAAACCCGGGGCCCGGGACAAACCGGGAACAAAGAAACAAAATATCTTAAAAATTTTGTTTGATAAACGTTCGTATGTGATACCCTAAAACAAAACAACGTCAATAAGTTAGAAACTGTATATACAATTTTTTGTGGCCCAGAGTGCCATCAACTGGAGAACGCATCGAAGCACCCAACGTAGGGGAGGGGGGGTGTATGGGTGTACCTACGACGTTTGGGGTGGGGGCTCCTGGGGCTTATGTATTGCCCCTCTGCGCCCCACCAAAGCTAAATTAAAGAGTAGTACACATCCATACCATTGACAACAAAAAATTCTCTTTGTACATTTTATTTTTTGGGAAACAGTATAAATGTCCTTTTTTTAAGTGTTGAACAAAGTCTTTAAATTTTTTGCCTTGGAGATTGATTTTTTTTTTTTTTCTCCTTTTTCATAAACAGAAAATTTATCGAAAATTTTCAATAAATTTGTTTACATAAAAGGGACACCACTGGTTTAACATTATGTTTTTTTTGTAGTTCTTATTCCAAAAAATTTTCCTCCCAATTTAAAAACCTTTTTAGAGACTGGCCTAAGGCATTATCCTAACCCCGTTTATTGACATAACTGTCCGTTATTACTTTTTATTTTTTAATATAATTGTTTAAAAAAAAAAAAATTTTTAAAATATACATATATATAAATAAATTATATATATTAAATATAAATATATAAAAATATTTTTATATGGTTGTGCCGAATATTAAAACTGGTCAATTAGCAAGAACTCATTTTAAAATTAAGCCCTTTTAAAAAATTTTCTCATACGTTCAAAGATTTTTTTTTTCTTTAATTTAAGAAAAATTTTTTTAATTTTTCTCCAAAAGAATCTTAGAAAATTTACCTAACCTTATTATAACAAAAAATTTTTTTTAGCCTAACCCCTAATATTTTTTGATTTTTTACAAAATTTAATACTAAAAAAACACAGTAAAATATATTTTTCCGTAGGTTCAAATGATTTGGGAAATTATTGCAACACAAATTTTCATTTGTCCTATATGGAAAGATGAGCTTCTATTAAGCCAAGATCGCAATTCGCCTATTCGCCGACATATATTAATTATATATATATATAATATATATATATATTAATATAAATATATATAAAAAAAAATATATATATATAATATATAAAATATATATATAATTATACCCAAAGGGACCGAACCCGGCTTTTTTGGCCTGCCTCATGGGGGGCGAAAACACATGACCCCCTAATCCACTGAACCAATACCCCTTGGGGGAGAGCGCTCCAGGGGAACGGGATGTTGTACTCCTCCCCAAAGGACACACGAGGTGGATACTCTGGGCTAATTTCATTCTATCTCTTTTTGGTGTACTAGTACAACGAGCAAATTTCATATTTGAGCCCGACACCTGGTTTACATATAAAAACTGCTCATTGTACTATAACCAACCGGGGACTAAAATGAAATAATATAAAATATAATATATATATATATATAATATATATAATAATAATATATATATATATTAAAAAATATATAATGTATAATATATTAACACACACACACAAACACACACACACAACACACACACACCCAAAAGAAACAAATTTGTGAAAAGAATTCACCGATCGAAGACCAGGCAGAACACAAAGGGATCTGGACAGGCTGCAGCCCGGTCCAGAAATTGGCCCCGGAGTTCATTCCCACCAAGCAAATCATGAAATTGGGGAAGGGCAAAAAAACCGCAACGGAGTACAGCTAGGGGGCAGAGACACAAACCTCACTAAAGGGAAAAAAGACTTGGGGTGATATAACACCAGCACATCCCAAGCGCACATAAACCCAAAATAACTGCTGCAGCATATGGCGCCTAGAAAAAACCTCAAACGCATTCCGACATCTTAAAAGGAATCTTTCAGGACCCTTACACCGTTACGTTGGCCATATTGGAGTATGCGGAACCGTTTGGAACCCACACCTACCAAAAGCACGGAAAAAACCCGAAAAATGCAAAGGTTTGCAACAAGACTATCCAAGCTAAGAGTATTTCCTCAGGAGATTTAAGGGGAAATAAACCCTGACACCGAGGACGGGAGAGATAGGGGGACATATAAGCATAAAAAATTTGAGGGAATTGAAAAGGGTACAAAGCGGGAGTTCCAGAGATTGACACAGTAAAAAGGGGGACACATTTGGAAGCTGAAAAAAACCCCAGAAAATCACAGGGATTTAAAGTATTTCTTCACCCACAAGTAGTCAGTAAGTGGAATATTTGGAACGATGTAGGGGAGGCAGATCCAAACAACTTTAACAGGGGTATGATAAACCCACGGCTCAGGAGAGTGCCCTATACGATCATGAAGGGGCGGCCAGAGCTCGACTCGACCCCCGCAACCTCAACAGGAGTAAACTGGGTGAGTACACACACACACACCACACACACACACAAATAAGGGAGGTACCACCCAAAACGGGGACGGGGGACCCTCATCCTCAGAAAAAAAAGCCACGGGGGGTGGAAATCTTAGTTCGGACTTTCACATTCTCATGCTCATCAGGAGCTCGCAATTTGCAAAGGCAGCAAAAAGAAAATAGGGTATTTTTCAGAGTATGGTATGGGGTGGCACTCGCCATCCTGTCTGTCGGGAAAACCACGGATCCAACCACACCCGACCCCCCCACACCCCCACCCCACAGGGGTCGGGGGGGGTTGGCCTCACAGTTTCGATACATAGAAAAATTTGCTAAAATAGTAATAGCCAGCCCTACGCTTCTAACCTGGAACGGGTTCATTTGCATAAAAATTAATTACAATTGGTTTATTACATCCTTCATTGAAAAACTTCTAACAAAAAAATAAGGGGAAAATCCCTCTAGCAACCCGGGTGTCACAAAACCCTTCCGAAATTCAGAAATATCTGTGTCGTTAATATGCCTGTTGAATTCTCCTATTCGGGCTTCTATAAGACAAGTTGTTTTTAATTTTAATGCATTCCAAATCATTTTTATACTATCCTATCATTATTATAACTACATCCGGAAGACGTCCTTTGGAGCGACTTTTTGGGACATCCTCCTCTTTTCTACAATTTTGCAAGCTCCATATTTTGCAGCACGAAAACCTAGACTATCATTCTTTTACCCCCGTGGTTTTTTGTAAAAATAATATATATATATAAATATATATATATATATGATATATATATAAACACACGACCCTTCCCACTGACGGGGGACCCTGAAAAACAAGAAAAACTCATCTCAGCTGCCAAAACCCCCTTTTTCAACGCAGGGATGTCTTCCACCTCCATGATCAATCCGGCTACTGGTTTACCCGACCTTTCAAACTGTTAATTTCCTCCACTTCAACACATTCAAGTCATAAAAACCATTTGTCCCACTCCTCCTTAAAAACATTCACAAATGCTTCCTGAAGTCCAAACTCCTTTTCCCCAAAACCTTTACCCCCCTCCCTGAAACCTTCCCAGGGCACCATATCCTGCATTCCTTCCACTACAATTTATACCCTTCCAAATCAATCTATTTTTTTCCCCCTCTCTGAATGTCCGAACCACCCAACAATTCTTCCTCACCCTCGGATAATGCTGTTAGAAAATTCCCCCCTCCTAATCTCCAATCTCGGACTGGGATTATATTCCACTAATTTCCCCAACACACATCTCCACTGCCTCCAGCCTTCCCTTGTTTTGCAACATTCACCACCCATTTCCCCCCTATATGACTTGGTACCATAAAAACATAAGAACATAAAACGAGAAAACCCGCAGAAGCCTACTGCCCATGCAGGCAGGTCCAATCTCCTTTTCCTCTCATACACTCCCCTTCTTCTTCCATAACAGGGAGTGTTAAGTTTGTGCACCACATCAATCTTTACATTCTATGATTCATCTTCCATAACCATCTGCGACAAGTTCACTCCCAAATATCGAAAACATTCCCCTTTCCCTTCAAACTGATATGAAAACTTCATTAATAAATTTTGTTATCCCATCACGTTGCTTTTCCATGTTTGCTTTTAAATTTTTTTTACATACCTTCCCTACCATCCACCAAACCCCGCAACTTCCTTCAAATGTTCCAAAAGCACAGTTCTCACAAAAACCAAAGTAACAGCCCCCCTTTGTGTTAAGGGTTTTTTTTCTCTTAAATTTTATATCCTTTGCCAACACCCGAGCATTCAATTCTCTAAAGGGGTCACTTGCGGCGGCCCGTAAAACAACCGGTTTCCGACCCTTTTCCACCGGAGGCCTGGGTTTAGACAGACCCAGCCCCGGGGGCGTTCCCCCCCAAACCCCCCGTAAAATCCCGGTAAGGCCCACCTTTACGGAAATAATTTCCCTCTCTCTTCATACTCTACCCTGAGGGCCCCACTACCTTGAAAAACTCTTAATTTCTTTCCAGTAACCACAACCATTCCAACATTTTCAATACCGCCCATTGCTTCCCCATCCACCCTTCATAACCCTTTTTCCCGATCCATAAATGCAAATAAAACCCTGTCCCTTTTCTAAATACTGGTCCCCCTATACCTTTACGTAAACACTTGTCTACACACTCCCCTACCCTTTTCCTTGGGCCCCATTGTTCACTTCCATCCCTTTTCTCTTTTTTAAATCTTAAAAAAATTTGTTACAAAAAACGCGATTCAAAAGCTAGAGACTCCAGTGAATACTAGAAAATCCCCTAGCATCCAGCCTGTTAAATGGGTTTTCGTAAAAATATCAATCCTTTCCAATTATCCAATAAATCATATTATTCAATAGTGCTTTTTGGATTCAACTGGTAGGCACTAAAAAGAAATTAAAATTTAAAAAATTTTTTAAGTCATAATTGTCTAGAGATATTACAAATTAAATTTAAATTTCACAATCAAAATAAAATCAATCTCCCCGAGTTAATATTTTTTTGCGAAAACACATATCACTTTATAATTTTTAAGTACCGTCAGGTACATTAAACATTTAATAAGAATTACAAATAGTACAATAATGGGGTATGCGGGAAGTCCTTAAGTATTAGATATGTCTCAAGACCAATAAAACTTAAAAAAAAGTGACGACAAAGCCCTCAAATAAACAACTTCTTGACCGACTGGCAATCAACATCTGCTTGAACAACAAAAAACTAACCAATACAAAACAATATCAAGCG